ATAAGATTCCTTGTAAAATTCGATAAAGTTTATTACGGGCAAACTGGTAAAAATCTCGAACTAAGATTAAAACAACATAAAATATAGCATTAGAAAATGGACAAGATTCCAATGCTCTATTTATTTAGTAAGAGATTTTAACCATCCAATTGATTTTCAAAAAGTTGAGAAAGTAGTATCAAGCAAGTCCATGGTCGACAGGAATATAATTGAATCTTGTTTCATAAAAAACATTTTGACAATAATATGATTATTTCCTTTGGTTTATATAAATTGGATCCATTTTAAAATTTAAAAGAATTTTGGGGAAAAATTTAATAATACACTGGACAATAATAATTTTTAAAATTTTCTTGGGTAGAATAGTTTGTTTGGGGGGTTGTGCCCAAAGGACCTGTCCAATTGGGCCGGCGAGCCCTCGTGTTTAACCGTTTGTGGGACCTGATAGTGAGGTTTGGCCAGACCCCTTAATACCTTCCTTGGATGCTTTACTTTCAAAGTTCCTTAATTTAAAGTGAGTAGTCACGAAAACGCTTGGAATTTCTCTATTTTTTCAAGTGGTTTTTTTATATATATATAAATATAATATATATATTATATATATAATATATTTAAATATATATATATATATATAAAATATTAATAAATATATATATATATTATAAAATATATATAAAAATATTAATATATATATATATATATATATAATAAAATATAATATATATATAATATAATATATATATATATATATTATATATATATATATATAAAATTATATTTAAAAAATATATATTATCCCAAAGTTGATAAATATGTTAGGAAATAGGGTAAATGTTTCCTGACGTTGGTCGTACTTATATGATGACTCCATATTGGAGCTTTTGGTCATATGATCGAAACCTTCAGCTGGCTTACCGGTTCACCTTTTTAAAAATAAGGTTATAATTATAACCATTTTTTACAAAGTGGATGAATCATATATGGAAGCCCTAAGTTTGTTATAAACCCGTCTAGCAAGGAGCTTAGTAGTGATCAACAGGCAAACTTAGGCTTTGCGTTAAGCGTTGCGCCTTCAAATAATGATTTTAAATTTTTGTAAACCCTTGCTAATTTTTTCTGAACTGGAAAAAACAGGGATTTGATCCCGGGGGAGCTTTAAATATTTTGTTTTAAATTCCCCCTTTGGGGTTTCCCCTTATTTCCCCACTACTTTCCCTTAAGGCTAAAAAGAACACAGAAATAACAAAATTCAATTTTAAAATGGGGAAAAATTGCTTGAGATTGGTTTAAAGAGCGATTATTTAGGAAAAAAATAAATCTTTATTTAATAATTTTGGGGACGTTTTTCCTTGTTTCTTAACAAAAAAAAAAATTTTTGACCAGGTTTTTTAGTCATTTTAAATTTGGAGGGTCTAAAAACACTTATAAAAGTGAATGGCGAATTAAAAAAACCAAATCGGCGGGCCTAATCGGCAAATTTCCCTTTTCCAGTAGGGCTTGATTAAGATCCCAAAAGTCAAGAATTTGGGGCTTGCTCTATTATAAAATCAGGGGGGTTGTTGCCTTTCCCCAAAACTAAATGGTTAGCTAAACTCCTTCCCTATAAAAAGGAAAGTTTTTTGGAGCACCAAAATTGGGAATAAAGTGGGGGTTTTTTAAACCAAAATTATTAAAGGGTTGCCGAACTGGGGCAGAACCAAAGTTATTTATAGGATGAGAAATTACCGGGGTGGGCTAAAACTGGAATAACCTGCCCGGGTCAAGTGGGGGTTTGGATGGGTTTCCCATATGCCCATTTTGTAGACACATTCAGCTGCTCAACAATATTTCCCAA